CGGTGAAATGGCCCCGCTCAACTCAGATTTTATGAGCAATTTGAAAAATCTGATATAAAAACCAACCATTTCAAACAGTTATTGATCACAAATTTTTTAAAGCTGTTTTTGGGGATAAAAAAGTATCATTTCCGACACTTCAATCTCCTTAAAGAAGTTGAACAAAAACTCAAAGACAAATAAGGAACTACTAAAACAAAGACTTTCAAGGCGTGCGGCTAAGAAGCAGTGTATCAAAGAAGTCGGTTATTAACTGTGAAAGTGCTAAATTGGAATCGTCTGAAGAAACAACCTTGCTCTTAACCGATCTTACCCTAGCGCCAAGAATTTACCCCATGTTACTTCTGTAAAATAAGTCCAAAATGGGCATCACGGGCAACATGGCATTCTGATGAGGTAACATCAGAATGGACAAGGTGCACAACCGTGCTGTCTGATGCGAGCGTATCTTTGAGCTGCATTTCGCCTTGATCCACCTGATAACTGACCATTCAGAGTGATACTCAGCACAACGTGTTATTCCGAAAAGAGATCTCTTTGGCAACACCTGGGATTTGCCAGTCGTTTTTACTTCAGTACTACTGTACTGGCAAACCCATAATGCTGCATATCCTCAGTCTCTGATCATAGTTAATAAAATTATGATAAAAAGATAAAACATACCAAAAATCGATCCGGATATTCCACTGACATTAAAGTAAGTACTTCTTTCGCGACAAGAGCCGTTAGACCTTGAAAAGTGTTCATTAGAACAATTCCATCACGTTTGTTGGTCACTTACTGATGTCCCTCAGCGACTTATCGATTATGCCGATGTTTATCAAGTGGTAGAGCTCATCACCGGAGACGAATCGCTTCGATAATGTTGGATACTTTCGAGTAAGATTGCGTACCCCCAAATAATCGGAAACGTTCTCCATTAACATATAAGTTTCTTTCGAGTTCACCGGCCACTCATATTCGTACAATATTTGGTCAGAAAAAACACTGAAAATAAAACATGCTACGAAAAAGAATACTACAATGCCATAAATATGGTGTGTCTTTTGCAAAAAACTTTACATTTAACAGATAAATTCAAAACTGGACTGAGATTTCTTGTTCTCCCTGTCATTAAAAATCATCCCAGTGACTCCAGTTCTCAGTATCTTCTTGACAGCATTTAGTAACTCATACTCATCTCCTTACACCTCAAGAAACATTCTTATTCTGTAGTGGCTGGTTCATGATGAATTCGAATTCGGCAGCGGAACATTGCAGTGTCGACGGCTTTCAACCAAATGACTACCTGTAATGAAAACTGGTATCACACTCAATCCGGTAGACTCAACTTTCTGCCAACTTCTATATGCAAATATGAACATTGTTTCAACGAAGTTTCTCATTTTCCTGAGCTCTTACGCTTGAAAGACCTAATCTTTGAATTCGGTAATCAAGGCTAATAGAATCAGTGACTGGTCAAGCCTCATTCAAACGTTTTGCCAGAGAATTTTAATTCACGAAAATTCCTAAATCACTGCATTTTGATAGCAGGTGCTGCGTCAGAATAAATGGTGTTAGAGTCGAAGCCTTTCAACGTTGGCACCGGTCTCCTCCATGGCTGCGTCCTGCCCCTCTCCTGTTTGTATTGCACATGGATAGAATATTCACAAGTAGCCAAGGCTACGAGTACATTGGTGTAGGAGATGTGGAGACGAGAAGGTTGTTGTTTGCACACGATCTTCATTTATTCGCATCTTCTGAAACTGATCTTCAGTGCTCCCTATAAGGGTTCGCAGCTGAGAGCGACGTGACCGGCATGTGTGTGAATGCATCTAAAACGAAAAGCCTAGTGCTTTCTCGTTCTCCTGCCCGTTGCTCTCTTCAGATTAACAGAGATGTAGTGGAGCAGGTGGAGAAGTTCAACTACCTCGGAACTATATTTGCTAGTGATGGAAGTTGGAGGAAGAGATCGACCGGCGAATTGGTGTAGCCAGCGGCGTTCTGCGTGAACTAG